ACCCAGTTTCGGTGAGCAGATAGTCATCCTCGCGATCAGCCACAACAAGCTTCAGACTACGTTCTACAAGTCAATCACATCAAATTACACATTGCCAAGCAGAACAGCATACCGAAAAAACATCAAGTCCTCTTCATACTCCAAGACATTTTCATGAACGCTGAGCTTCGTTTCATTGATGACACGTGTCCCCACATCATGGGTTTTCTTCAGCATCTCATTTGTGAATCCATCCTGTAGGCCCATCCTGACCACATTACATGCAAACCCCAGGCCCTGGGACAGCAGCGCAAACAGCGCAATTAGTCACAGTCCGGCAACTCAGTTAGGGCAAGTCAAGGCTCTTGCTGTGGGAAGTGCATGGTGCTCCCAGACAAGCAACATTGTCGGGGTCTCGTGGAAGCAACCTGCACCTGTTAGGCAACCCAACAGCTTGATGTGCAAGCATGGCATATCTAACCAATAACGGCATGTTCTTTCATAACTAAATAGGCAAGGCACATGTCGCGATTTTCTTGATGCTCTTTGTTGCAGCATTTGAACGAATCAACCAGCCGAAGTTCACGTGGTGACCATACCTTGCCTTTTGGCCAATTTTCCAACATGTCAAAAACGTTGTCCATCAAGCATGCATTGGGAAAGTGTTCTGAGAGGACTGCCCGGCATTGGCGGCTCTTTTCCACCTTAGACAGTGACATGTGACAGGTGACATGTGACATGTGACAGGACACAACACACCTTCAGCTCTAGATCAGCTAGGTGTGCTTATTGCGCGGATGAGGATCCATCAAGCAATGTTGAATATCCAAATCAATGGAGAATCGATATGCCACTGCATGCTTCAAGATCAGCAAAGCTTCTCCGAGGCATTCAATTCCACTGTAGAGGCTGTGGACTTTCCAACAAACAGAGCCTGATGAAAGGCTCAAAATCAGAAATAACAGAAAGAAAAATCACATAAGAGAGAACTGACACAAGAAGACGACTAGAAGTTATAGATTGAACCAAGATTCTAAGCTGTTCTCGAACAGCTCCCTCACCCCATAGAACACATGCTCGGTCCAGCAAGACATGGGGCCACTGATTCACATCCCTGAGGCATGTGGGAATTGGATATGGTGGCCTCAGCGGCAAGGCAAGGACATGCAGCTGGGAAACGAGGTTTATTCGATGATCTTTTCAACATTTCACACACATCGTCAGAGATTTCAGCTGCCTGTCACTGAAATTTGTCCAAGCCACAGTTCAGGCAACATAACTGCCATGTCTTCTTCCATGGATGCAGCGCCCCGTTTCCTATTAGGCATGATGTTAATTTCGTGATTTCGCCTGAAAGCTACCTGAATCATTATGGTGATGCCCAGTGGATTCAATTGATTCTGAAATATGTGTGCATGCAACCTTTTCAGTCTCCAAAAGAATAATCATCCATATCAACATGCAGTGGTTAAAAAATGGCAAGCTAGCATCACCATGTTTTGTTTCTGAAGTGAGAAAGCCAGTGCTGAAACACTAATCAGACCCAGTGAAGATGAATTTCAAGGATCATGTGCTGAAGTGTTCAATTGTTTCAGGTTTGAAGTTTGTAGGCCACTTCAGGTTCAGACAGGTTGTCGACATAGACCTGACGAATGATGATTGGTCAAGATGAACCTGCTGAAAATTGATGTGACGCTATTTGACCATTGTGTCACTGAAGGAACTCCATGTTGAATGTCTGATCACTCTGAGCAGTGAACCGCTGGCATAGGTCTGAACTTGTCCTCGAGAACACACCTGGCAGGACGGCGAATGTGATCTGGGTCTGTTTGGGACACACTTCAATCATTTGCATTAGTTGATGTACCTAAACAAAGCAGACATGCACTGGCGAAAACTATCAAAAATAAATGCGTAAAACTGGAAGTAGTATACACATATAACCATCAGATAAGGAAATATATTTTTAAGCATACGCGCGGCATAAATGCATTGATTGCTATGTGGTCTGGCCTTCCACACACTGGCTGGGCTCAACCTCAGACATGAAACAATGCAAGCATAAGTCAATGTGAGTCCACAAGCAAAAGTACCTTTGTTAGTCCACTTGATTCAATCATCTCCCATGCGTTCAGATCAGTGAGTGGTCCACAGCGCTTGCCTTTTTCATTTTTTGCAGTGTTGTTGCACTGAGCAACGCAAGTCTAAGGCCAAGAAGCTATAAATTTCATCCTCCCAGACTAACGATTAAATGGAAAAAGTCTTCCCAGACATTGTCACAGCCATCAGCTTCGGATCCAGAGGGCATCCGAATCATGCCAAATTATTTTTTTGAATAAATGACACATAGCAGCAATTAGGCAGACTTAGCCAGGAACTTCCGCCGACTTAACTTACCACTGCTTACTTTCCTCCGGGTCCAAGATCAAAGTGATCCGGCGCTTCTTGGCCGCAGGATCAATCTCTAACCTCACCACAGTCTTCTGGTTCTCAATGGGAGGCACCGTCTCACACGGAGTTGGGCCTGATAGACGATTGCAGTGTTTTGCATTTTACATTCAAGCATGTCTGACTGACGTGGTGCACTCATTTGTGAATTTCATTTTGTCTCACTGAAGTAACACTCACAATGCTTTGTACTTTCATTCAGCAACATGATTTTTTAGCAACAGAATGATGCAGCAACATAATTTTAGACCAGGCACTGGTTGAGTCTGATGAATCCAGCGCATCACCAGGCCAGGCACAAGTGCCATCATCATCGGCGACTGCGTCGATCACGGTGTCAGTGGGGATGCATGGGGATGTCATGAGTCAGTCCTGCAAAGATAATGAAGCTTAACTTCAATGAATTTCTGGCCTGGGAAGGTGTATTCCTTCCATGAAGTCTCGCTCACTGGCTCATCCACGACGACGTCATCATGGGTAGGCGAGGACATCGAAGTCATCACCGTGGTGCCTGCGGGAAAGCTGGGGCGATATTTGTGTTCCAAAGACACATGTCCAGATAACAAACAGCAAACTGCAGAAATAGCACAACAGTCATAGTTAGTACATTGTGCCTGGGTTGGCTGTTCCAACCACACCAGCATCCGCATACAGATGGACATGGCCATTGAAATTGAAACCATTCATCATCTTCAGGAGTCGGTGGTGGATGTTCGGGCCAGCGGCTGGTGCTGCAGTGGTCAAATGTTTAGCAACCAATGACCATGGAATGTGTTGCATTCTCACTGGTTCTGTTTGTGAAAACTGTCAGAAGCAAACATTTGAGACATCATGATCTTGTGCACCCAACGAAGTCATGATCAGCGAAGCAGCAGCGCACGCATTCGAAGATGAAGGCGTGAGACCTGCCAAGAATGTTCGATTTTTGGATGGCCAGTGAAACATGCATTCACTGTTTTGCACCTGGTATGTACTGAAGCTCATTTTTCCCTACACATTGTGACACGCACCGACGCCTGATGTTGTCCCTGTGACCCCATAAGCTGCCCAGCCCATAATCGGAAAAGGTATCCCACCCTATTTTTTTTCTGGCTTCCCAGCCCAAATGTTGTTTGATGGCTTCCCAGCCAAAGTTTAAAGGACTTCCCAGCCCAAATGTTGTTTGATGGCTTCCCAGCCAAAGTTTAAAGGACTTCCCAGCCCAAATGTTGTTTGATGGCTTCCCAGCCAAAGTTTAAAGGACTTCCCAGCCCAAATGTTGTTTGATGGCTTCCCAGCCAAAGTTGAAAGGGCTTCCCAGCCCAAATGTTGTTTCATGGCTTCCCAGCCAGAGTTTAAAGGACTTCCCAGCCCAAATGTTGTTTCATGGCTTCCCAGCCAGAGTTTAAAGGACTTCCCAGCCCAAATGTTGTTTGATGGCTTCCCAGCCAAAGTTTAAAGGACTTCCCAGCCCAAATGTTGTTCGATGGCTTCCCAGCCAAAGTTTAAAAGACTTCCCAGCCCAAATGTTGTTTGATGGCTTCCCAGCCAAAGTTTAAAGGACTTCCCAGCCCAAATGTTTTTTGATGGCTTCCCAGCCAAAGTTTAAAGGACTTCCCAGCCCAAATGTTGTTTGATGGCTTCCCAGCCAAAGTTTAAAGGACTTCCCAGCCCAAATGTTGTTTGGTGGCTTCCCAGCCAAGGGGGGGGGGAAGGACAACCGGGAGGAGAACTAGGAACACGGCAAGGATGCGCTCGGACGACAAACCGCGAAAGGTCGTGAGGAAGGGGGTGGGTAGAGAAAGGGAGGGAACAGGAAGAGAAACCACTAGACTCACGGATGTAAAGGACCAAGAATAGCAAAAGATAAGAGAACCCCATAAGGGAAAACTGAGAATCCAACCTGGCTTAGAAAGAAGTTTAAAGGACTTCCCAGCCCAAATGTTGTTTGGTGGCTTCCCAGCCAAAGTTTATAAAGGACTTCCCAGCCCACATGTTGTTTGATGGCTTCCCAGCCAAAGTTTTTTAATACCTTCCCAGTTTCAATACTTGTAAAAAACTGTCCAGCCCAAAGTGTTTAAGCAGCTTCCTGGCTAATAGTTTAAAGCAAGAGGGTTTCCCAGCCTAATCAAATTTTGCAAAGTTTTCCAGCCAGTATTTTCACCCAGGGGGCCCTAGCCTGAATATATGAAAGCAAATTTTACTAGGTGTCCTATGTACAAAGTTTGCTTGACCTTTGAAATTTGCAAGTTTGCCTTTAATAAGTTTTCACCAAACAAAAAAAGTGATGTTTGTCCTGTCATGTGTGTACAGTACTGTGCCATCACTTATACGCTGATTTTTTTTTGTGTAACACAATAAATTCCACCGGGAACCAATGTCTAAAGAATGGTCACCAACCAAACACACTACTACATTGGTGAAACTTTCATTAGGCCTCCCTAACATGGAGCACCTGGGAGAAACCTGGAAACATTGCCGCGGGTACCCATAGCAGCAATGCTCCAGGTTTCATTGCCAGGCTTGCCCAGAGCAGGCGCTTTAGCCCATATGCCCTGCTCTCATACACCGCCTGCTTTATTACTACAGGACAGTGCGTTGGCCCCAAGGGCAGGCTCCGCCCCACACATGGCCAGTGGTGTAATCCCTTCGAGGGGATTAGGTAGGGCGAAGTCAAAGTATCATGACCATAAAACAGATGTTAAGAGGTTTTGGACCCACCACATTCCATCCACATAGCTCCAATATCCATCCAGATACAACGAATGATACTTAATGATGAATGGCATGTCGCTTCACCCTTAACCAAAGGGTGCTCCCATAGGGCGTCAAATTTCCATACCCCCTTTCGACATGACATCTCATCCACTCACATCACTGCCAGGTACGGATACCAATCAAATATCCGCAGAAAAATGTTCACGTTCCAGATCATATCCATGATCAAAAGATATCCAAAGAAGCACACGTCTTCCAAAACACAAGGTAGATGATAAAGCATCATCCAAAAACTCATCTCGTTCGATTCATGCATAATGTCGTAACTTCCAAATTCAAAATCTTCTCTGTTGCGAAAACCAGATGTAAGAATACCAGACTCAGTCCATAGACTCCTAAAGTCTTTCCAGTACTAAGCTCGTCTTCCAAAATCCAGTTCCTTGGATAAACCATGGCGTCGATAACGATATATCTACAGTGCTGTTGTCTTCTTACAACAAACAAAACAACAACAAACACACACACACACACGAGACCCAAGACGAAACCTAACGTCACACAATCGGAGTCAACACGAAAACAAAGGCCAACTGTTTCAGCTAATCCGCACCTTCGTGAAGAAGGTAGGCGTATGCAAAGAAAACACAAGTGAAATGATATCACGCATGCAACTCATCTCAAATTCAAAGCAAGTGAAGTACAGTTCACAGTCACTGCACAACAAATTCAAAAATGTTCTGAGTGAAAATCTCTCACAGTCAGGGTCAGGACTAGCTAAGATTGGCACAGAATGAGGAAGCGGTGAGAGACGTTCTAGGACAGAACAGCTCTCACAGTTTCATCATCGCATAGATCGCCGTCCCCCTTTCAACGTCTGATCCATCCTAAAGATCTCGGAGGTGTGGTATGTCTTGTTTGAGTCTATATCATGACATGAGGGTACAATATGTCTGCAATCATGGCATCAGATTCCCCGAAAGATTTGCTGATTAGTTAGACTCAGATTCCGTCTGAGTTTCTTCCCAGGTTCTCATCATGTGCCATGACAACACAATTATACCAAATGTTTATGAAAACACTCACAACATCAAGTTCCATGTTTCAAGCAACAAAACTCAAGACATGCACACAACAACTCAAACATGAGAAGTATCGCAATCAAGCCAGTCAAGAACAACTTCAACTTTTCTTCATGATGTCTCCCTCAGATCTGTCAGCAACTCCAAGTCCTGAATGCCTTCAAGAACGTTGCTCTCGCCATCGTCATTGAGAGACATATGACAACAAAACGAACCTCAAGCAACTGACAAACCAACATGCAAACAAAATTGTGTCTACTGCGTCAATCGGCGTGTCTCGTCCCCCTTTTAAACTCAAGCTTGGTACCGGTGCTCAGCCATATCGTCCTTTCTGAAAACAACAAGTGAACCTCGAGTTGACAAAATCAACTATTCTCTTGTTGCCACACCAGGCGAATTCCGGTGCCTTTGGCACTCTGTTCAGGTATGAACATCAGGGGTATACCCGACGGTATTCTCGTGTCCCCTGTATTTGAACATACCCTAAAGGGGAGAACGCCGCCGTCCCTGTCATTGGGTCATGGCGTGCAGTTGGTGAAACACACCTAATGCGACCCGTGACCTCTTCGATCACTTGACAAGGTGGGGATTTAATATCCTTCACTTCGAGAGCCAGGGGATAGCTCATTGGTAACTCCCCCATCTTTGCCGGGCTGTAGCCTGCGAACTTCGCCATCGGCAACGTTGGCGGCGATGGCATCATAGGTCTCGGTGGCACTGCCGGTGGAGGCGGGAGGTGGCCAGAGCTCAAACTCACACCAGGCGCCGGCGTCATCGGTGCCGCTGGTGGGCTACTCTGCGACATGCCAGGATGTCCCATGGGTGGCTGCAGAGGATCGTATGCTGGAGCTCCCTCTGTCGGTGTCCCCTTTTCAATCCTCTCAGCAACCAATTTCATATTTTCTTGTAGCTTGTCCATCGATTCGAAAAGCTGGGTCATCAAATCCTGCAAAGCTTGGTCGCGTTCCGTGCGGCCTTTGTTGTTTTTCTTGAGCACGTCTGCCATAGAGACATCCAGTGCCCACTCCAGGTGCTTTTTCAATTAGTTATATTCACCAACGACCGCACCCACGCGGCTGGTGTTGTGGTTCACACCAGCAGCCAATGATTCTGATGCCCTTGCCATGTTGTTGACTGCCGCTCCCACGGCCTCTAGGCTACGGCAAAGGTCCTGCTGAAGAGTATGCGTACTCTTGATAAGGGTCTCAAGCTTGTCCGTCGAACCCTTCAGCGCAGCGACCATCGAAGTGATTCCCACAGCCAAGCCCGTGGTAGAGTTCAACAGGTCTGTTGCATCATTGTGGTCAGATGCTTCCTGCATCCTCAATCTTGGAGATCTCGATCTGTCATCATCTCTTCCAGCATCTCTTTCCTCCTTGTCTTCCTTGTCATCTCCATGCATATGAGCAGTGTCCTGCTCTCCCTCTTTCTCTGAATCCGTCTCAGCAGTTCCTGTCTGTGCCGTCAGCGCTGGATTCTCAGACACGGGAAATTCTCCCTCTGCCGCTGGAGCTGCTGGGACTGCTGGAGCTGGCACGTTCGCTGCCATGAATTGTTCGAGTCTCCTAGACAAGGCCTGATGCACTCGCTGGGATAAGCCGGGGCCCAAATACAGCTTGGGCATAATCTGCAATTCAACTTGACGATCCATCTACTGACCATGCAGGTTACAACTCAGCCATTTCATGCCATGCCAAGCACAAACTCTCTCTTATTCATCCTAAGGTGCGTGCCGCACACCTTAACAGATGAATCACACTTCCGCCAAAGATCACACTCACTACTACCCCAAGATGCGTGCCGCACATCTTGACAGGTAATATGTGATCGACCAAACTTCAATGTCTCAGACAAAACAAAAATAATACAAACTCGTGGCAACCGCAAACTCAATCCAAATCCAACTGCCAATGCATGCA